TTCATTTTGTACATTTTTTCATCTTTGTTGTAATCCCAATGTGCTTCCCACCACCAATTCACCGATGTGCCATTAACATAGCCCTGTGTGCTCTTACGACCCCAGTTTTGATTGTATTCCCCTCTCTTCCTCTGTAGAATGTCTTTGGTTTATAGTTGATTGTTGATTTTAGTTTTTACTTTATTACTTTATTCCCTGGACCCTTTCACTGCTGCTATGAGTGAAACCATTTGGTATTTCTTCTTTTTCTTTCTGGTTTATTTCACTAAGCATGATCTCTTGCAGCTCCATCCATGTTGCTGCAAATGGTATGAGTTTGTCTTTTTTGATTGCTGAGTAATATTCCATTATGTATCACACCACATCTTCTTGATCTAGTCATCTATTTTTGGGAACTTTGGTTGTTTCCACATCTTCCCTATTGTAAACAGTGCTGCAGTAAACGTAGAGGTGCGGGTATCCTTTTAATTAGTGTTTATGTTCCTTGGGTAGATATGTAGGGGTGAAGTTGCTGGATCAGATGGAAGCTTCTTTTTTGGCAGTTTGAGAAATCTCCAAACAGTTTTCCATAGTGGTTGAACCAGTTTGCATTCCCACCAGGAATGCAGGAGTGTTCCATTTTCTCCATATCCTCACCAACATTTGTTGTTACTAATTTTTTTTTTAATATGTGCCATTCTCACTGGTGTGAGGTGGTATCTCCTTGTGGTTTTGATTAGCATTTCCCTTATTACAAGTGATACTGAACATTTTTTTCATATGCCTGTTGACCATCTGCATTTCCTCTTTGGAGAAATGTCTTTTTAGTGCTTCTGCCCATTTTTTGATGGGGTTGTTTACTTCATTTTTGTTGAGTCTCATCAGCTTTTTATAGACCTTTGTTATCATTCCTTTTCATTAGTATTATGCGTAAAAAAGTTCTCCCAATCAGTGGGGTGTCTCTGTTTTGGTTAATGTCCTTTTTTTGTACAGAAACTCTTTAATTTAATCTAGTCCTAGCTGCTTATCCTTTCCTTCACTATCTTTGCTTTGGGTGATGTATCTTAAAGATGTTACAGTGGCGTATTGGCATGTAGTGTTTCACCAATATTTTCTTCTATATATTTATGGTATCAGGTCTTATGTCTAGTTCTTTAATACATTTTCAGTTGGTTTTTGTGTATGGTCTGAGATAGTAATCTAGCTTCATATTTTCCAAATAACAGCCCAATTTTCCCAGTACCATTTGTTGAACAAACTTTCTTTGTTCCAAC